ACACCAGGAATGGGCCATCTTTTCCCACTCATTGAGTTTGCAAAACGACTTGTCGTCCACCATGAAGTTGCCATAATCTTCATTGTCCCTAATGATGGCTCGTCCATGGAACTCCAAAAGAAGCTCCTCCAATCCCTCCCGAAACCCATCTCATACGTCCTCCTTCCGCCGGTGAACTTTGATGACCTCACCGAGGACAGTGTCATTGAAACTCGCATTGAACTCACCTTGACTCGCTCCCTCCCTGCTCTACGCGAGTCCCTCAAGGCCATTATGGCCGAGTCAACTCGCTTGGTGGCTCTTGTAGTAGATGTGTTCGGTCCAAGCGCCTTTGACGTCGCTCGAGAACTCGGTATCCCGCCCTACATTTTCTTCCCTACGACAGCGATCGTGTTGTCGTTTTTCTTCTACTTGCCTAAGCTTGACGCCATAACTTCCTCCGAGTACCGAGACTTGCCTGAACCGATCAGTTTACCGGGTTGTACACCGGTTAAAGGACGCGATCTTTTCAGCCCACTTCACAATAGGAAGACCGAGATCTATAAATCATTCGTTCGTATGGCGGACCGGTACAATCTGGCTTCTGGGATTATGGTCAACAGCTTTATGGAGTTGGAACCGGGTACTTTCAAGGCACTAAAGGAAAGGATCCACGGTAACCCGTCGGTTTACCCGGTTGGACCGATGATACATACCGGTTCACGTAATGGGTCGTCAGACGAACCCGAGTGTTTGAGTTGGTTGGACAAGCAACCCAATGGGTCAGTGATGTTCGTCTCATTTGGAAGTGGTGGGACCCTCACTCAAGCTCAGTTGACTGAGCTCGCCTTCGGGCTTGAAACGAGTGGCCAAAGATTTCTTTGGGTTCTCAAGAGCCCAAATGAGAAATCTGCGGACGCGGCTTTCTTCAGCCTCAAAAGCACCAAAAACCCATTCGACTATTTGCCCGAAGGCTTCTTGGAAAGGACCAAAGACGTGGGTCTAGTGGTGGAATCTTGGGCACCGCAGGTTCAGGTCCTGAGCCATGGCTCCACCGG